GGCCACGTAACAGCATGGTGCTCACTTTTACAATTGCAAAATCACAAAATCAGATTCACGTCTAACTAAAGGGCCATTCTTCTCAAGTGACTTAAATCTAAATATAGATCTAAATACAGTGAAAACAGATTTCTGACTGCAATAACTTCACAAACCCTAGAAAAAAAAGCATTGTGCTACCATCACTTTTCCTTACAGTGAAAGGTAAATTTCTGAAGTCCATAAGGGTTTGACAAAGTTTGGATGATGAGCCTTCATTAGCCTTTTCCATATAAAAGATTGACATCATAAGTTAAGAGGTTTGCTGAAGATTAAATTGACTCAATGAAATGCATGGAAATTTATTAATTACTCCTGAAAGCGAAATTAAATGATAAATTTGAGAAGTCCAGAAATATGCAAGTTCTCACTTTCCCCTGAAGCTTAGTAGTTAACTGCAGACAATCATTTCATCTGCCACATTTACATTTGCTATTGGATTTTGCTTGATACACTTTTACATATTTTACTGTGATTATTATTTGTTAATTTTTTAAATTAGAGGTCTTTATTTGCTTTTCTCCCTTAAGTTTCAAATTTTACACTTTGCCTCTATGACTTTATTTACACTGTGGCATGTTATTAGATACTCAGTGAACAGATCAAAACAGCTCATTTTTACCGTTGGGTAAGAATACATGCAACATAGATATCTTTTATTTATAATGGCTTTAATTATGATGTTCCAGTATCAATCTTTAAATATTTATTTTCTAGTTTAATTAACCTACTTTTAACCTGAGGAAAGAATGTACATATGAAACTTTCTTTCTCTTAAAACAACTCAGATTACAAGAAAAGCAATCAAACCTAGACTTCAGATAAACTGTCTCATCTGCTCATACATTTATTTAAGTGAAGAAAACCTATCCTTCCCTAGCTCTTAATTATATATAAAAAAACTTGATTTAAAATGCGTACCTTCATTCCCCAGTATATCACCAAAATAAACCAGAACTGACTTCATCTCATAATTTTAAAGTTAAACAGATTGCAACCTGCCTTCAGACTGTTTTTAACTATGAGGTTATTGCAAAGTTTGAGGAAAAATGTGTATGAACATTAGCGATGAGTTCTCTATTTGTCATTGCCCCCTGCTTGCAGCCAGGTAGAGCAACAGAGTCTATTGGAAAAATAATTGCAAGCCCAATGTCTAAGAGGAGAAAAGGCAGAGCAAAGTCCATACTCAGGAAAATCCCATCAGCACTTCTATAAAAGCGTTTTAACGTTAAACGCAAAAGGGTTTAACTTTAGAGGGCATGATTTTTTTGCGATTGTCTCTCATAGACAAATAGGATCCATTTACATAGCAGCACTGCATGGATCCGGTGCAGACGCCTCCAGATGAACCAGTCAGTCAGTTTCTCTTTATAGTCAGAGGAGAAAAAAGAAGCTTTTTCAAGGCTATGAGTTGTTTGGTCTATTTTAGTTACTTACTTTAGAATGAGATGAAATAACTCTTGACACAGCTGTGAAAGAAGGCTAGCCAACAAGATCAGCTTTCGACAATGGAAAGTCAGAAGAGATGAATCTCACCATAAGAGTCTTCGACACTCCCATAAAAATAGTTTTCCGTAGCTTCTGCAAACTGGGCTCCTGTACCCGCAACAGTGTTTGCCATAGTGCCTCTCAGTGCAACTCAGTTGTGTTGAGGCAGCTGCTAATAAACATTAGAAAGAAAAAGGGCTCTTGCTCTGGAGGGGCAGTCTTGGTGAGGCAAGCCACGGCCACCTGATCCCAGCCAACCCACCAGCATGTGTTGGCAGAGAGCACCATCAGCAGCACACATCAGTGCCTCTCCGCAAGCCACAGTGTGGGTTGTGTCAGCCACCAGCCTAACAACTGGCTGCAGGTTGGCCTTGCCCACCGGGAACCTGTTCTGCAAGGCCTGTGATAGCATGGAAAATCAAAAACAGAAGAGCAGATCAACAACAAGCAATGGTTTGTTGTCACTGATGGAGATTCTTCCTCCCCGCAGTGCGACTTGGTGCTGTGTCTCTGTGGCAGGCTGAGCAGCAGCTGCCATCTCTACAACAAGCACTCCGGAGGTGGGCATCAGCGTCTCCCGAGAGCAGCACGGACAACAGCTCTCAGGATGGGAGCTGCTGCCTGACTCTGGACAGGCGCTACGCTGCTGAACACTGCCAGCCACGTTCCCAAAGCAGGACACAGCGTTCCCGATATGATGCGCCTGGTTGAACGGAGCTGCCCTTCGACGCCCTTTGTGTGTTATGAACCGCATCAAACGGGTGCAAGATATTCTGCAGCTGAGGACAAGTAAGGACATTCAGAGCAAGTGGGTGCGTGTTCCCCATGCTCAGCTGGCTTGTTTGCCCAGGAGGTTAAGAATTTGCAGAGATGTAAGGCTTGGCCACCTGCCATACAGAGGTAAGCCAGATGGCAGCTCCTGCTCAAGAGCGCTGTGTCTCATTCATCAGCAGTGGAAGCATTGTGCGAAGGGAACGTACTTGTCACTATTTTAGTTGTGCTTGGTTGCACTGATTAAGCTTCACTGTCAACAGAGTCTGAGCCTTAAGCTGCCCGGTCCCAAGTGCCAAGCTTGCAACCTAAAGATCACATGGTGATGCCATGTCAGGGCTGACGTGGCTGCAAGACCAGGATTCAGAGAGCTCGGTCTGCAAGTTAGACTGTGGGTTTCCTCAGAAGACAGTAATTAGTAGTGGAAGGAGGCCAAACATGAATACTGGTAGTTTGTCCCCTAGTACTGTTTAGACATGCCCACCTCCTATTTATGCCATTGGAAATCACCTTTTATAAGTACTTTGCAAGAAGGCCATATTAAGCAGGAATCTCATAAAGCAAGGAGGAAATTTAGCTCCTGGAAAACACAGCCTTTTTTTTTCTGCTGCAGAAAGTTTAGACTAAAAAAAAACGTAAACGAGCAACTCACTCAGGCATTTGAATTTCACAGAATATTCCCAATTCTTAGTCATCTGCACACCTGGGAGACTGACTGAATTGCAGCCCTATTTGGACTCCTCTTAACTCAGTATTGCTTATGCTGTGAAAACATATATATCAAAAAAGTATGAAAAGGTACCAATTATACGAGCTATAATGAATGATTTCAGTAGTTGACCCTCAATATTAAAGCCGTGTAAATATATGGCAGAAGGGCTTTCTATGTGATACAGACTTCTTTTGGATTTATCAGCCCACAGCACTGAGGTAAAACAGCTCTCCCTCATCTACCAGATTCTTCCTCTCTCCAAAAATTTATGAAAGTCATAATTCTTTTTTAATAATATCACTGTCTGCTGCCATGGAGGAGTGTAGTATTAAATTCAAAAGGACAATGCTCATGACAGAAATTAGATGAATAAAAGCTCTGGAGAAAACTAAGCTCTTCTCTACATACCATTGGCACTGCTAATTAATAGAGAAAAATCAGAACCGGACCTAAAGATCTCCACTTGCCAGGAAAGCTCATAACCTCATCCAACCTTCATTGCTCAGGCCTTGTCTGACCTGAAAACATGGCAAGATAAATTAGCAAAGAAAGTTAGAAACAGTGAATAGCTTTGTGCTTAACATATTTGAACTTAGAAATAACTTCCTTAGCACCTAGAAGAGGATTTCAGAAGCCAGACCTCTACATTAAAAGAATTAAAAGGAAATGAGAGAAACGTACGGCCACTGATTCCATTGAATGGCTATCGTTACTGACTGCAGCATCCCTTAGTAGCATCTGTCTATTAAGTTGTAATACCTGAAAAATAAACGAGTGAATGAACAATGAAAGTTATGTGTGTATGTGTCTGTGTGTATTCTTGCAAATTCCTAGTCATAAGTGGAAGTCCTAAAGCAGCACCAACACTACCACAAATGCTACTACCTTGGTACTCAGATTCTTCAGGGGGAATTTTGAGAGTTACAGAGCGGAATTTGAGTAATAGGGTAGGACAGTGGGAGAGGAAAGTAGGCTTAGGAAACAGGGCTCATGCCCTCTTGAAAATATGTTGCAACTCTGAACATTTCTGCAGAAACTTCAGCTTTTTTTATATACCATTCCGTCTTTATATCTGAAAGTTTTCTCGAGGTTGGTTTGCCACCTACAGAAGAAAGAAAAATCTTCATGTGCCAGGCTGCACGCAGTTGCCTTCGCTGGGGCCTTCCCCAGAACAGCCTTGAAACAATAGTAACAGCAAAGGTACACCATGAACTGGACCACTTTGTTTTCCATTAATCTCAGATGAGAAGTCTGTTTTTTTTCAAAGCCTGTTTGGAACTGTTTAAATGATAACATTATAAAGCTAGGCAGTCTTTAAACAAATACAGGGAGTCAAGGCCTTTTACAAAAACTCTCACCATTTCCCATCCAAAATGAGCTCTCAGCTGTCCGAGTGAGGACTTTCTGGTCCCACTGCCCAGGCTATAAGGATCTAGCAAGTTCTCACCTATAGACACGTGCATACATGTCTGACCTGAGCAACTGCTGTTCATATTCCCAAAACACCTCTCCTGGAAATTAGCAGGCACATATCAAACATCCATTCTGCAGCAATTGAGTGGGGCTCATCCTGATGGGACATTAGGCATTGCCATGCCTAAGCTTTACCTCTAATGGGATCTACAAGTTTTTCTCATGTGATTTAAATCCCTTTAAAAAAATTTAGGCCATGGGCTCCGTGGGCAACACAAGGAAAAGGCAATTTCCTGCATTCCCAGGGGAAGTCCTAATCACGAGGAAAGTTCAAAATCCCAGTCAGCATAGCTAGGGACCCTTATGCCTTATTAGTAAAGGAAGAGACTAAAAAATCTCTAAAAGAAGCGGCAATAGCCAAAAATTTATTGCTGAATACATCCAGGTTTTATCACGTGAGCAAACTTATATAAACTGAAAAGTGGTTTAACTTCTTTCTCTGGTCATCCCAGGTGTGCTCAGGGAGCTACTTTTTCCACACCCACAGGTTGAATTACCTCTAGGTGCTGCACTATAAGAGTTTGCTTGGATGGGAAGAGCCTGCAGGGAGGCTATCTGCTAAAATTCAACCTGAAATAGAAAGGATACAGGAAGCAGCCCAATGTTTATAGGTGAAACGTCTGAAGAAAGAAAGTGAACTTGAACTGATAATGAGACTTGTCCAAACCTGTAATGCTTGTTATTCAGAATCTATACATTAGTATAATATGTATGTATCACAGATATGAAGCCAGCATTCATATCATAAACCAGACAGACTTGCCCTCAGCAAAATTATTATTCAGTGATGAAGGTTTAGTCACCATACCTCCCTCCTGCCTGTTAATTAAAATGGACTTGCCAGGTAACATTTTTTCCCTTTTACACTCCCAGGTGAAGAATTTTCTCTGTAAAAAGGATCATACCTTAACCAAACCCCATCATCAGCAATATTTAGCCGTGCACTTGGAATAGGCTTAAATTCTTAAATGTTAGAAACAGCAGGGAGACAATGAAATTCATATGAGATGATATTTTTTAAGGTAGATCTAAACCTGCTTACAACGACCTGTAAAATACTGAGAGACGTGACAATAAAACAGACGATGAAAAGTTGATACAACATAATGTAAATATAAAAATAATATCATATCTTACACATGCATAAAGATGTGCTTTAAATTAAGTGTTACCTTTTTCAGTGAGATACTGAAGATTTTGTGGGTGTTTCTTTGAAAAGGTCAGCTCAGTGCTGGACCATGGTCAAAAAAACAGATCAGAAATCACAAATCATTACAAAAGGCACTGAATACCAAATGCTAGATGAATACGTGATGTACACATAGTTTTGCGTACCATTGTCTTTAAAACATCTCCAATATGATAGTATTGGTCACACTGCCAGAACAACATCAAGTGTTGTTTTCTCAGTGTCTGTCAGCTTCTGCATCCAGGCATGAGCACCCAGCCCTCCACTTGGCAGGTTTAAAAATCAAAACTCAATCCATAAGCATCCTTTACTGAGCCAGTGATAAAGAGATGTGGTTGACCGCATTGTGAAAAGCATCTGCTCAGCTCTTGAGCACTCAGAAAAGAAACTTACCACACATTTTTATCCCGGGAATATTTGTTGTACCAGATATGGCATATTATAAGGGTTTTATAAAGATTGCTTTGGAATGACCTGTACTCTGCATTTGCAGGTTTAGCTCGGGAGAAGTAGCGTCCCCACCTTAGACTTATGCCAAGAAACCTCTCTACCATGCCATCATCCATTCTCTCCACCCAGCACCTTCTAAGTCGATGAGTGGATTGAGTGGCAGGGTAATGATTTCAAACTGTTTGGTGAGGATGGGCTGTTACTCTGCCACACTTTGTCAAGCAGATGAAATGAAACAATTAAAAAGAAAGTGAATGTAAGTACCAAAAGGCTAAACATCAAACTTGGAGACGTTCCTATCTGCTTTGTTCCATTTCAAAACACAGTGAGTTAACTGGGCCTGACTCTTTGGCAGTGGTCCATTTGTATGGCACAGATTTACTTAGCTAACAAGGCCCTTTTGTTTGCCACAGCTGTGGAACTTCAGTACCTTGTATCTTTTCACATTCCCAGGTTACCTTGGCATCAAACTGTGACTAAATGCCTGCAAGAGATTTTTAACTCTAGCTTTGGAGGAATGTAATCAGCACAAGGAAGAATGACGACTTTCAGTAAGTGCCCTAGGGTAGCAAGAGCAATAATGAAAATCAGCTGTGCCTCAAATATTCGCAACGCCTCTACAATACCTGGGGCACAATAGAGAACTATACTCTTTGCTCTTCTGTATTACAGGCTGCATCACATTTTCCTTCTCTTCTCTTCCCCTTCCTCATGTTATAACTGTTCAGCTCCATCAGCTGGTGCAAAGGGAGAAAGGAGCTGTGACGGATCTTTTCAAAAGAATTGACTATAAGACCTCTCATATTTTAAGCTGAAAACTTTAAATTTTGGAGATGAATTCCCTGCTCCATGGAAGGAAATTGATGTTTTGTCATTGAGGGACATGATATCACCTGAAGCAATTTCAAGCATATACAAACACAGTTAATGAGCCACACTGAAGAGTCTGGTATAACCTTATAACTGGTCTAACGTAACTATGTTGGTGAAATATCCTTCCTGTTTTTCTATGGCTGCAGAAGGTCCCAGATGTGTAAAATAAGAGTGATTCCGTGTAATACAGATTAAGTAGGTAGGAAACACTTGCAAGTGCTGGAGTGCTGGTCTGTGGTATAGAATGCAGTTCCAGAAGCTCCCTCCATGCCTTATGCAGCAGGCAACAACAATCAGGGCCTGGGAGATTTCCAATACCTATACTAAAAGGGCTTAAGAAGTTCTCGTGTGGCTGACTCCAGACAGACCTCAGCTCCTCTGCACTGAAGCCAAACATGAGGCAGTTGCAGTCTAGAGGCTAAACAGCAACGCACTGTGCTCAACCAAATACGCACCTAGTATGATATACACTCCTACCAGCAGGATTGTCTGTATGGGTCTTTTCCTGAGATACCTAAGACATCTTAGGGCAGTGGCCAACTGACACTGAACCCCAAATGGATACTGCCTACATCGCAGCACCACATACGAGAGAAATAATAGTTGGGACAAAGACCAGGAAGAGCACATAGGTGACTACTGCTATTTATCATTCAAAGAATAATCTGACAAAATGTGAAAAGGTATAGGATTTAATAGCTATCAATTTGCTGGCAAAATACCCCCACTTACTATTCTATCACTCTTAATATACAAGTTATTCCCTTCTAAAGTGAATGTGACTGAAGTGACAAATCCCGAGAACTTTTCCTTGTCCTCGCTGTATTCAAGCCTTAAAAACATCCCCATAAAACAGTCGTTTTTTAATTTTTAATTTATTTTTATTTGTTGTTCTTGTTACCAAAGCACCCAGGCCATGTCATAAACCAGGTTCATTACACTGGGCATCTACTCTCTACGTACGAACAAACAGTCCCTGCCTGCAAGGATTAGCAATATAATTAAATAATTGTATGGAATACTGAGGCCCAAAGAAGCTGTGTGACCTGTCTACAGTCAATGAGAGAGGCTGTGACAGAAGCCACTGGGGAATTCCAGGATGAAATCTGGCATCACTGAAGTCAGTTGCAAAACTCCAACTTCACTGAAACCAGGATTCAAAATACATGTTTTTGCTTCATAGCCCTTTGATCAGATGACTCAGCCCTGGCATTTCATAAGTTTTCATATTTCTACTTCTTGCTCTTTTGCATAAAGCACTCACATTTTTTCTGCAAACTCTGTTCATGAACTGATATTTTTCTAAGAATAGAATTCGGATATAACTAGGTGTAATTCTGTTAATGTCTGTCCAAGAGCTCACTACTAAAATTAAGAAATTTTTCAAAGATATGTCCAAAATTTACACTACAAGGTTTTTTCATGATATATCCTCCCCTGAAGTGCTATTTTACTGACTCATTTTCTTCTTCTTTAGCCTGCATTTCCACTGGTGCATTTATTAAGACTTTGCTTTCAGAAGATTTAAGTGTCTTCTTTAAAATAAGGAGAATTAATGCACATGGGATATAGGACACTCCACGCAATATTTCTGGCAGACCCAGGTAGAGCCATCTGGAATAAAAGATGAGCTTTATTAAATATATGCGTTCATGAAACAATGGCAAAACTATTCAGTGTAAATCCTTTTGTGATAATTGCCTAGCTGCTCTTAAGCTTGTGCCCTGAGCCACTTGGGTCTCACCTAAGAGGAATCAATGTGAGAACAAAGAATATGTCAAGGGCAGCAAAGTGGCACCACCCAATTTCAGGCAACTATTCTGGCCAGTTAGCCACCTGGTCCCCTTAGGCTTTCTTCCTTTGAGGAAACGGAGAGAGACGTGAAAAGGGCAGTTCAGAACACCTGAGGAAAACTTACAGGTATTCATGAGCTAGCATTCGTCTTGCAAAACCAACCTTAACACAGTGTTACCAGGAATCAGGCTGAGGCTGTTATTTCAACCTTTCTCTTCAAAATTCCCATAGTGCTTCTTGAAGGACTACAAAAGGCATGAAGCATAATATTCTGCACCAAATTCCAACTTGGATAACTGTAGCCTCTCTGTCTAAATTTCCCCTGAAATTTAATTCAAGTACTACTACACTCATTTTCTGTTCAAAGATATTATGTAGTCAGCCCCTAAACATCCAACATTTTTTCCATAAGGGCTTTCTGCTTTTCTTTTTTTTTTTAAATCAGATAGTAGTGTGTTAAGGTCTGTTCTCATGGCAGATGTTCAGTGCATGCAAATATGTTAACAGGACATTTCTGGTCAAAGGATGTTGCGATGTCTATGGCAAAGGTTGCACTTGACAAATAAAGCCAATACCAAAGGAAAGGGTTATGTTAAATCTCTAATACTGGAGCAGTTTGTGTACTAGATAAGGATGAAGAGCATACATCTATATGTCTGTGCATTTAGTAACATAGTAAGGAGGAGATATGCACATAAAATAAAAAATATACCTGTAAGTGACAATGTCATATATCCTGCATGCTCCTTCTCCTCCACAACTCATAGTACCCCACTTCAAGCAAGTGGTATCTATCAAAGCTCCAAAATAAATGGGAGATGGAATTCCAGCTAAAAACGACATTAGCAATGATTTTGGTGAATAGCACATTTTTTCTAAGTAACAGATATATTGCAGAACTTGTGTAGTTTCTCACCTACTTCATCTGTCCTGTTCTCTTGCAGCATGAACCATGTTCCCTACCTTTCATATGTTCCCTTTTCTTCCTTATCCACCTACTCTCAACAAAAAAAATTCCTTCCTATTATGTATTTAACAATATATGCATGTTACAATATAAAAACCATGTACTCTGATTCCTATTCAAAACTCAACATTCTCTCTTACCAGTGAGTGTGTCATGTTCAGTAAATACTTGACAAGAGGGAGGGAATACAAGATAGCTTTCAGATAAGCCCCAAATATAATCATCCTATCCCTCAAAATAAAAGCATGCAAACTGAACAAGCTGTTCTAATTTGTCATGTTGCCTAGACTTATAAAAAACAAATTTCCGCCACTGAAAGGCACTCCGTAGAGGTAGACACCTGTGCCATGCCCATAACCCAGCCCTGATCTATATCAGACTCCAAACGAGCCCTAGATGTGCTGCCAAAGTGCATTAGAGCTTTTCTTACCAAATACTCTAGCAGCTAGTCCATGGATACCCACTCCAAATGACTTTTCTTCAGGCTTCAGAGACCTGTATGATAATTACATTGTATACAGATTAACAGGGGTGACATTAGTAAGAAATAGTTATCTGGGGGGTTTTTTCAGTCAAATTCTTCATCACATCATGCCCAAATCATCCTAACTAGCGCATTGGCTGAAAGAGTTCATTATCCTCATTCCTATCATTAACTTCCTTAACTAGGACTGTCAGATCACAAAAGGAAAGATTATTCTCCCAGTATCATCCACCTGCACTAAGGCCAGGCCAAGGCAAGAAGACAGTGGTGGCTTAATCAGCATCAGCTGTGGATGTGATCAATAAGCAGATGGGTATTACGCACCTCTCGGTATCTCAATGCACTAACTCAGCAGTCTTTCGTTAATTTAGGATACAGCTGACAGCCAGGAGCAACATCATTTTATAAAGCTGGCAAAGTTTAGCATGACACTAAACCCTAACAATCAGCACAGAAGTGACATAAGATCTTTCTGTTCTTCCTCCCTCCACACAAAGTAACCCACTTTTAACTCTTGAAGGTGTTTGACCTCAGAATAAAAAATCCAATAGGTTTCTAAAGATAAGAACATTTTACTGTACCTTATTAAGACCATATACCCAGGCATGGCTGATAAGGAAAAAATGAAGCTGCAGACTAATGACAATATTAAAAAATAATGAAGCATCTTGTCACAGTTTTCTTTTCTGTCACACTGGCCCAGAATTGCGGAGACATTTTGAGATGAAAACCCTGAGGCTGCAACACAGGTGCAGTTTTCAAATACCTGTCAAAAGAGTGTTTTAATTACACAGACCCATCAAAACTCACACACCGAGTGTGAAACTCGCACAATTGCTGCATTGCTCGTCGTCTCCTGCACCCGAGTCTGTATGTCACATGTGTAGCCCTGCACTGCAGCCTCTCTCCCCATCTGCCAGGCCCAGGTCCACTGATCAGGTATGTGGTGTGTGGGGTCAGAGCAGGAGGGAGCTGAGGTGCTCTTATGTAGCTGGAAGTACACTACCTCAAGCAGGCCATCATCAAAAGAGCCCTCTGTAGAAGATATATTTCCCACCACAGCATAGTAATGCCATTAAACTACCATTAAACTGCCATTAAACCTGACCCTTCTTTTAATAACCAAATGTACAGGATAGCACATGCTAGAAGAGAAGAAACCAGAGACATCTGATTTAAGGTCAGCTTAATAATATCCTCACTCACATGCTTGCTTCTACTGAATCAATGAGACTATTCACAGAATAAGGACTAACAAATGTCATCCAGAGACAATAAGGGCATCAGCATCTGGCCCTTACTAAATCTGATCTAATCTAACAGTTCTCTAAAACATTTGTATGGCACAAATGATTTCTAAAATCTGTATGGTTTGGATTTTTATTGAGGTTATTATTTTCAATTGTTTTCCATCTAATCTGAACTTATAAATAAATTAATTGTGAAAAATGTACACTTAATTAGGGTAGCAAATGCTCTATAATACTAATTGATTTATTTAAATCTACAGGATGAAAGAGATTATTATACCCATGCTCTAGAATTTCATTCTGGCTGAATGTGTGCTCAGGTTTCAGACTGGCTAACAATACCTTGAGAATAACTTCTTATAGCATTTTTGGTATTTCAGTTTCCTTCAATTATTAGAAGAGGCTTCTTCATTATATTCTTTAAATTAAATTTAATTTAAACTAATTTTCATATTCAGCTTGAAATTTCTGTTGCCACCAAATGAATTTGTCCAACTCTATCTCCTACAAGTGCAATTAAATGGATGTGTATGGATATTTCTCCCCCTACTCCTCACCTACTATATTTCATAGCTACAGCACAAAAAAAAAAAAAGTGTTCTTTACCACATGTTTTCCAGTTCCCCTTGAGGCTTTACACCCAGCAAGACAAGGTGACACATAAGTGATTCCATTGTCCCCACAGACTGGGTCCCATACTTTGAGCGTGCAATTACAATCACTGTTGCAGCCAGCAAATAGAGTATTTTCTGCATATGAGACTTGCTCTAGCCTGAAATACATTTAGAAGATGAATAAATATTTCAGTAGTGAAATCCCTGACGTAAGCCTCTGAAATGCCTAAGGTTCTATTCCAGCTGAAGTGCTGATCCAGGACGCAATCATACATGCTCCTATCCAGCAGTCATGCCTTTCTATTTTTCTATATGGTATTATACTATAGTATATATTCATAACTAGGTATTCATACCCTACAGCGTTTTTCTCATGTATGGCATATATATGCTCAACTGTGAATAAGCATATGCAAACCTACATGTGCGTTCACACACGCATGGCCCCTCCGCTGATTAATGGCAGGCTTCAAATCAAGAAACTGCAGATAAATTTCCTCTATTATCTTGACAGCAAGCAAATTTCAGTAAACTAGTGCAAGATAAAGAACGATTTTGTCCCTCTATACTTCTGAAAGTGCATTAATATATGCCTATGCTTGATCAACAACTTTTTATTTTTACCTGCAGTTACATGACTTGAATGTAGAATTGTATTAGTCCAAGACACGATGCACTCATGCAATTGTATGAGTCTTTATATGTATATCTTTTTTAATATACTGTATCATTTAAAATAGGAATAACCAAAGCTAGACCTAGTGCCTCACACAATTAAGAAGTCTAGAAAAGTTAGATCCTGAAATATACCTTGTTTTGTTTTGCAAAGCTGTGGAGTCACTGGCTGATTTCTGACAAGAAAAATCATTTCAGTGTTGTGCCTTAAAGAACGTACCCTTCATACGAAACCGTTAGGCCAGCAACTGGTGAAGGGTCACAGATAGTCCAATGTGCAGTAAAGTAAAGAAGGTATTCCAGTAAAGATATCCAAAATGCTATGGTTGCAGCCTGAGAGATATTTGTCTTGAACTTCTTCATGAACAAGCCTCCAAAAAAATATCCAATGCATATAACCGGTAAGTTGTAAACACCTGTTTAAATGAGTAAAACGTTACAATAAATAAAGAGATCGGCAAAGCTTCCCATAAAGGAATAACATGTATATGATTTGGCAAATACATGTGTAGTGCCTATGGCTGATGAACTTAACTGAAGTCAAAAATGGTAGTCTGCTAGTTCCCTTGCACCCCCAACAACCAGCCACAGTCAATAGCAGTTGTGAACTGCTTGGAGAACCAGTGGGTAGGACTCAAAGGATTCATTAGAAAATTGCAACCTACAACAGCAGTTGAGTTCCAACACAAAAAAGGCAGGGTTTCATCACAGCCCCACTATCCGAGAGAGCAACTCAAGAGTAGGATAACCTAACTGATCACATCTTTGTGTACACAGAACATCACAGAAAGAAGGAACAGACATGCAGTTTTGGAATGGGCTTGTTGAACGTGCGCTTCACTTCTTTTTCACTGTTTGGTATTTTAATGAAGCAAAGATTGACTGAGAGATATCTAGGAACTAGTTTTACACAAACATTATATGGCTTGGTTGTCTTTGCTCAAGATGGTGCTGGTTCTCTAGCAATCCTTGACTGCACGTGAGCATGGGGAGCCTGAGGAAAGGGGAAGAACCATTAAAAGAGACTCGGGCTCCTCTCAAAGTACTCTGTCTGAAAAGGAACCATGCAGTGCAATGGCAGTGTAACACAGATAAGATGTACGATAGCTATATAGCTTTGTATGTAGAGCTTCAAAACACTGGTGACAGAGGGTATTAGTGGTGCCCATAAGGTCTGGGACATTCTTTGTGGTAGGATTTAAAGAAATTGGAGCAGCTACTATGCAAGCTGAGCATTCGGTTAAGGAACAGAAGTACGGCTTGATGTACGTTAAGATGATTCTTCTATAATAACTTGTTCTGATCTAATTAAATCACAACAGTTAAGTAAGAGAACAAAGAGAATTTACAACATGAAAAAGTCAAACGTATTGTTTCAGGATATTTGCTTTGTGCTACTACTTGCCATTATCATAACCTCTTTGAGATCAGTAGTGCAAGTGGTGCAAATCATATCAGATGACATAATACATCAACTGAAGCTTCTAGAATGATCTAAAAGATGGAAAATGGGCTATTACAAAATTCTGCACAGGAAATCAGAAGATATTTAGCAGAAAATGCAAAATGATTATTTAGAACTGCTTTGTAGTGTGGAATCTCTCCCACATAGAAGCATTTGACCCTAGCATGTATATGTGTACATGTATATATGTATATGTGTACATGTATAATGTACATATGTGAATGTATAGAGGGATAGAATTTGCGTATAGTCATCACCAGGTGGTAGATCAGAACAAAGCAAAATGTGGATGTACCAATTAAAAAGATGGCGTCTGATGCAGATTTTCCAAACTGCTGTTCCAAGTATTTTGGCATGAAGGATATCATGCCATTGAATGCGCTGAACTGTAACACAGTTATGCATATAAATAACATATAAACTGGGTTGCGAAACAGAGCCTTGAGGAACGGAATGAAATCTGGAATGAGACAATGCAACAAGTTAGTGTGATGCTTTACGAAATGAATCATCCACTGCTCGGTATGGCTGAGGAGGAAAGAGGGGAACAGAGATGGTCCTTAACTGTTTCAGGCTAATTCTTGTGCTTGGCCAGAGAATGCAGGTCAAAGACTGCTCACTTAGTGCAGCTTTCCCCAACGTGTCTCTTCTACATGGAAACAACCATAAACACACACACACACACACACACACACACACACACACACACAGAGCAGTGCATGGTGCTGCTTATAAAGCATGATAAAAATCTCATTATAAAATTTTCCTGAAGCTTATGAGTTAGGCAGTGACTGAACCAAGTCAGATTTGCAGCAGCACCTGCCACCCAACTATTCCCACTCCTTTTCCCATCATCCCATCCCCACAAAGCATCTATCAAAACCCCTTTCTGGTACCTGGCAGGCAAAGGGAGTACAAAAGGGAAAGGGTATAAATAGACTAGGCAGCTGGGAGTACCTGCCACAGAGACCTAATCACTAGTTTTTGATATTGCTACTGTTAGTGAGGGAGAAAGGGAAAGACAGAGGAGAAGAGGCCTAAGAGATAAGTGACCCTGATTTTTCCTTACACATCTCAAAGTATGGATCCTCCAGCCTTCAGCAAGGTAAACCTCTGAGAAACTAATTTGCATATGTGTTTTCTCTGAGTAATGCCTATTAAATCAGGACCTGAACCATAAAAAAAACACAATTCCTCTTTGTCTCATGTTCTCTATCAATTAATGTGTCAAAAAACTCTGCAGAAAAATGTAAACTTCTGTAGAACAATGACCATAATTCATTGAAAGTGGGTACCAGCTAGCACTGATACTTATCTTTCAGAAGCAGGCAAGTATCTCAGTAGAACGGGATCGGTATATCAGTCTTGCAAAAATGGGTCAAATATCTGAAACACTATGAACAGGGCTGTCTTATTTATATATGCCATACAGTTTAGAAGCAGAGCTTTCTGCAGAAGAGATTACCATGCTAATTTGAACTATAAATACTCCAAGTTTCAACTTGAAACGACAACGCTTTTTGATTCAGGATATTCAGGGGCAGTGGACATTCACATCAATGCAGGAAGGGAATGACGATGAAAACAAATAAGCTCTGAAGTGATTCTGGAGCGCCAGGCAGCCACAGTCTGACCTAGGAACCTTACCTCACTGAAGCAGCATGTTATTTATGGGTTCATTTGGGGCTACATGATAGCAGAGGAAGAAGCTATGTTTACCAAAATGAAATTGCAATACCAGCCAAGATCTGAGTATTCGGTCTGAGTATGGTGCATATGCCGGGCTCATCCAGAAACACCGTGGAGAGGTAGCTGGTACTTGGCACTTACTTTCTGAAAATGAAGATCTTGTCAAGGGGCTTTGAGCTGGGCATCTGGAATCATGAGACTACTCTGAAGATCATAGCCATTGACATATTTATTCATGTATGTTTTTAACAAGTACAAAAACTAGAAGGAACAAATAGCTTTCTACAAATATATAGATCTGAAAACACAGAGATGTGAATGTTGCTGTTGGCAGCATGAACAAATGTAAGTCAAATAGATCGTTCCTCAATGAGCCATTAAGTGATTGTGAGACACTTAAACACCTGTCAATTCCCTTCTCTGTCTTTAAGCTGGACTCCAGTATGCATAAGACTCATGCTGGTTTTCGACACAGTGGATTGGGGGACACCTGTAATTAATATTTTCAATGTGTTCACAGCTCACTGAGGTTTAATATTCTTAATGAAATTTCAATGCATTAAGCCTCTAGGAAGAAAAAAAAAAGAAGAAGAAAAGCTCCAGATTTACGTATACCTGCAATGCAGAAGAGGTGGAAAAGGGTTGGATTCAGGACTTGGATGTATGAAATTGGTTTTCTACTTCTGTGAAGGCCATTCTAAATCCCTGTACAAATCCTTTGTACTACAGACAGCTAAAAAATAGACGTATACATTTCATATCTTGGACCCATCTTTACTTACAAAAATACACAGACATAGTTTACATCTTAAGGACAAAATTAAGATGGAAATAAGATAAAATATAACTTGCCTTTAGCAATTTCATACATGGTCTGCTTGGCTTCATTTTTATCGTTTTCTTGCAATAGTATTGCACTCTTTTTACTGAACTCCTCAGGTTCATTGGTTTCTCCTTCCTTCACAAGGGACTTGGGCAAAAACCAAAAAGGTATTCCGGCAAGAAGATTCAGTGATGCACAAATCAGAATGCCCAGCCACCATGCTCCAACCCAACGGGCATCGGTAACTGTTATAGTTATGTCCTCTAAAAACAAGTAACACATCTCGTATTAGTTCAGAAACATATTGTGCTGTAATTGTTTGTTTTCTTTGTTATCTTTGACATATGTAATAGATTGAAAACATTCTAAAGATCTTAAAAGGAGGCTGATGAGAAAGAATAGATAGTCTCCAGTCATCTTTTCTTATGCTGCTAACTTTTCTGGCAAATTTTAGTGCTTTATATTAAATTAATTCTAATTTTTTTTCTAAGTTGTCAGATGATACAATAATTCATCAAATAATATATATGCAGATTCATTTGCTCATGTGTGAACTCAGGGCTTTTATTGAACTGAATATTACAAATAGATTTTCCATCCTAAAAGAAACACTAGCAAGCTTAGATAAAATGAATACAACACATATTAGCTCACATATTAGCTTTTAGTGCTGATAAATACACCCCTCATGCCTACTGATTTATATGAAAGTTTTTATATACTCATCCATTACCTGCATTTACTGATCCCAGATCAACAAACAGTTTCGCACAGAATGAGCCCAACAAGAAACCAAGGAAGGGGCCGATCACAGTTGCTGTATGTAGGCATCCTGACATATGAAAAGGTGAAAACATACAAAATCAGAACCTGCACATAACTTTTTTCTTAGAAGTATTATAGATGTTCAGAATAGCTTTACTAAATAGATACTTAGGCCTAAAACCAACCTCATTTCAACAAATTCATAACAAATAGTTGAATTAAATGCTATGCAATATGATTATTCAGACAGGGCAGCAAAATCCTTCTTTATTCTTTCTTTATTGGACTAGTGGAGTCACAAGAGCCCCCCCTTTTGCTTTTGCTTATTTGCATGTTTGTTTTAGGGATGAGAGTTGGCATAATAAGATGGAGTACTTAGAGATTTACCTAAGTAGAAAGGTGAATTCTCTGCTTTGGCAAAATCTTCCAAATATGAAATGCCTAAAGGCATGATGGGAGTTTCACCCATTCCTCGTACTATGTTTCCAATCATCACAAATATCCACAGCAAGGATCCAGGCTCTTTTTCACAATCTATGAATAAAATAAGAAGCTAGGATTAATGTTTTCATTTTAACTATTAATTACATTCTAGAGATGAAGATGAAGAATTAACTAACAAACAGCTTAGCTTTTGATGGGTAGGTCTGTCCTGTAAAACAGGGAAAGAAGTAGTCATGGTGCTCGAAAGGCTCCAGAACTGGAAGAAGCCTCTGCATTTGCTGGAGCAGAGTTTAAATCCCTTTGCTGCCCAGATCACACCTTGCCCAACCAGCTGGCAGTGCTGATCACCTAGGCTTTTCTCTTTACTCATTCCCACCAGCAGAATTGTTATTTTCATGTCAGTGGATAGAGGACAGCCCCTGAAATATGTGAGCCAGAGGGATAAGATCCTCTTGGCTTGTAGATGAAGGTCCTTCCAACACCTCTTCCTGCTTCAAGACTGAGGCTGACCTGCCTCAGAGCTTGGTGGCTCTCCTAGCTGTTAATGTGATGCAAGTAAATCCTTAGAATGACAATCATAATTTATGTTTGCTAACTGATACTAAGAGCTAGTTAAAATTGCCATTTTTATCTCCCACCAATATTATGCTATGCATTTCCATTTCAAATCAAACAGAAATGTTGAATCATCTACACTTCTCAACCAGAAAACAGCTCCTTTTACAAGGTTTTCCTGTCAGGTGGCAACATGTCCCTGCACTTACCAATTTACTATGACAAAGCTGCTGTGATCCCTCATGGGACTTGTTTTGGATACTTAAATGAAACATTTTGTTTTGATTTTTTAATGGGAAAAGTTTACTTCAAGAAAAAATTGCTTTTCAGAAAGAATATATTTTATTTCAGATTTTTCTACAATGTCTCAAAGAAAGGTTTTTCAGCTTTCAATATTCAACATCAGGTTATTAAGTCTATGAACACTCTAACTGAAAACATTACTGTTCAGAGACCAAGCTCAGATCTACTCTGTCAATGTCAGATTCTTGCCAGCAAACAGAAGTTAAACAATCCAAATGCAGGTGCGGTCAAATTCAAAGGATTTTTCATATCACAGAGGAGATAGATAGATAGGCTCATAAGCGTGACAAAAATGTCACAGTTTTGCTTGTCTGTAAGCTAATAGGGAAAGCTAAGTTGCCCAAGTAAAGGCATGGGAATGAGGACCTCTGGGTTCTATTGCCTGCAGGGCCTCCAAATGGCTGTTTAATTTAAGGAAAATTGCTCTACCTATCTGGACATTTTTGTTACAGATAAACAAAGAAAAACAATACCTGAAATCTTCACAGGAAAGATTAATAAGAAGCGCTACTAAGCGCTAATTCATAAAGTGGTACGCGGTCTTGGAAAGCTTGGACTCTATGTTCTTTATTAAACAGAGACACAGGAAACAACAGTATAACAACATTCGAGTTTGATGTCACAGTGTACATATAATGATATTAAAGCAGTGTGATTCAGCTTTAGCACACATTTATGGAACATCATCATCAAACATAACAATTAATTGTGGGGTTCCTCTCACCTAACTTTTGCCGTTCACTGATCATTTAAGTTTTCAAAAATCAATAGGCACATCCAGGACCTAATCTGTTGCACACTACAGCAAAGAGCATGAACATCCCTAGAGCAAGGGACTGAAAGTCCTCTGCAGTCTCCTTTCACTATCTATCAAGGTACCCCACAGAGTTCAGTCTAAATGTCTCTCTAAATGTCTAAATGTCTCTTTAAGGTGGCTAAAGACCAGGGAGATTAATCCCATCCTCAGAGTGAGAATTTTATATGTTATTATTTAATATAATATAATATAGTTATATAATATAGTTGCCTCTGTCTCTTTTGACTTCAAAATAGTTGCTTTATATGCATATGCTACTGATAATGGGTATGTATATTTCAGTCTCCCAGATAAGTTTTCTCTTTTCTCTAAAAGAAAGCAGGGGCTACTTTTTTGCTCTGCTTCTTATTCTTTTCTTTCATGTGTGATACAACAAAAAAAGAATCTTGATGCCTTTTACCTATTTTCCAAATCACAGTTTCCCATTTCCTCACAGTGCTATGGTATTTCAAGTCAAAAAGAGGAAGATTTCTGGAAAAAACACTTTTTTTTATTTCCCCAAACAAAGTGGAATGACAGGGATATTAATGGATACTGTAAAAACTGCATGAAAAGGAGTTACAGCTTTGGAGTCACAGACTAAAAAAAACCAAGCAAATCTAAGAAATTGCCTGACCTCTAGTTTTCAAGCCTGGAAAAAGTACTGCTCCAAAGTAGAGCTCTGAAAACAGCACTAATCAAAAAAATCCTGTTTGCTTAAACACTATAAAACAACTGAGCAGAAAGCAATAGTAGGTATCAGAAGAGCCATACCTGTTGATGGTTTCTCTGTAGGTAAAGAGAAAGAGCTTTGATTAACAAAGCACAGAGGCATGAGTGAAGAATTCTCTGATGGTGAAATGCTGCTTTCAATATGATATCTGTTTGAATCAAAATAAAGCATTTACAGATTAAGAAATACATTAGAACCACCTCATAAATGTTCTTCAGTAATGAAGCTACCTAGAACAGATGTAGGTAGCTACAGCAAAAAGTAAACCCATGTCAAGTCAACTGAGCCTTCGTAACAAAGCGAGGTAGGACCGAAAGAACTAAAGGAAGGCACGAAGCCAGTGCTTTATCTAAACTGGTATCTCGTCTCTAACATAACCTTGTAGCAAATGCTTCAGGAGAAGATGATGAAACACCCTAAAGAAGACCCCATATTATCTTCTCTCCTATTCTTCATGCACTTTAATCCAATTTACACCCTGAGCAGAGGGTGCCACCAAGCCTGTGTGCCTGTGGTGTTATACCACATTGGGTATAACAAGATTAAAATCCCAAAGGATCTTCTTTTCTCAAAAAACATCTCACAGATTAAAATGCAGAGAAGCCTAAATGCTTATTTTGTTAACCCAAACAAAAATAGTGAAAAAATGGATAAAGAATCATATCTAAAGGATTTATCAGAACAACGATCAGATACAGTTTCTAATCCAGGCTCCAGACCAAAGACATCTGAAAAATCATCTTCTATTGCACATCCAAGTAGATAAGAGTTAATTGTGTAATGCAACAGTAGCATATAGACCTCTGTTTCTTCAGAGAGTCCATGTGAGAGGTAGTGAGAGGAAGGGGTAGAGGACAGGGAAGAGGATGGTGATGGGGACAGGGAAGGGGAAGTCATGTCAGCTGCCCAGCAGACTGGGCACTGGAGGTGACTCTCCTCAGGAAGCGATTACTGACTTAAGCAAAATACTCACCGTCCCATTAGGAAATGCGGAAGTGATATCAAAAGACAGCCAAATGACAGAATTGTGCAGCCCAAAGCAATTATTCTGGGTCTGTGAAGCTTTGCTCCAAAGTAACTCACAAACGCAATCAGCAGCAAGTTGCCTGCAAAAAGAAAGTGGTTCATATTTACAAACTAAGACATCCTTGTATCTTTTAAAGTCCAACACAATTTTGAGTAAACCTTGTTAGCTCACCATCTGTTATTTCTCTAGCACTTTAACTAGACAGGAAACTGGCTAAAGATGCAGTAATCTCTCCTGTGATGCCTTTTTTTCTGGAAGAGTTACATTAGGCAGGAATTAACATGAGAACACAGGCTAAAATGGAACAGATATCATAGTGAAAGAGGAGATTTTTGACTGTACCTATATACAGAAGAAATTTCCTACTACTTTATGTAGAAACTAGGCAGAATAATACCTCTTTCAGGAAATTATTCTCCTGGGATACTCTATTTTGCAGCATGTGGGAAAATAGAGAAGTAGCTATACAAGTGTTTCTGTATTGAAAAGAATAAAAGTGAGGTGTCACACAGAGAAAAGAGGAACAATAAATTGATAGTATTTCAAAAATCATTTAAGAGGAATTTTTTTAAAAGATTTTTTTCCTTAGTGACTTTTAAAAGTACAAATGGGCTTAAAAACATGAATCTATTCTCCCTCTACTTTCGCTTCAAAATCAGTTGATTTGCTATACTCCTCATTTATTGCTGATGCAGCTAAGAATCAAACCTCATGTTACGAATCAGGTCCCGTTACGAATAACAATTGTTAGTACACTTACTAATTTTGTCATATTTTTGTCAAAAGAACAAAACCATATCTCTTACTTCATGCTTTGAATGAAGTTTACATCTTTTCTTGCATATAATTGCTAGATAGACTGCATTGAATCAGTGGCTTGAATTACGCTAAAAGATGTACACTTGTTCAATCCCAGTAAATTCATTACATCTGGCACATACACTGATTCTAAATCGTTTATATCTTAATGTGATTATTCACAATTATTTTACATCCTTGGAGATAGGAATGCTACAAGCTGCTCTTTTAAAAAAGTGCATATGAGAGGACAATTTATATAAGATAATAACCTAACCTTTCTACATACCACCTCACTAATCTTGACAATTTCACACTTTTTTAAAGTCTCAAACCTTTCATAAGCATGAATATATTCTGGGTATTCATTCTGTCTCATGACTTTGAATGGCCTCATCAAACTGCTTTGCAGGCAGCACCATGGAGTAATAAGCAGTCTCTTCTCTGTGCATGTATAAATAGAGGAGACCAGGACAAGGTATGGATGGAGCCTTGACTCCCCTCCCCACCAGTGCATATGAGTCTGTGTAGACCATATCCTCCACCGAGCCAGACAGAGGTGACAAAGGATCCAGACTGTGGCCTTCAGGGTATAAAATGCATCCTCTGAAGATCTCTACCCAGATAGTTTTTGAAGCTATCGAGCCTTTTCGTTGGCTTTGGTGGCAATCTCAAAACCTGACCCTGTCATTTGGCAGTAAAAGTCACTGACAGGGGAGCTGGGGGTCACTATCAGTGGAACTAGAAGCTTTGTTATAGTTATACAAGTATGAAAACGTGAATCACTGTTGGATTTGAGTGAGGAGACAAATCACTCCAACCAGCTTTGAGGTCACCAATGAAAAGAACTGTGAAAATGCTAAATATGACCTTATATTTAATACAAACTATCCAAAGATAGCGCTTAAATTAGCTGAACCAGCTTGTAGTCCTAAACTTCCTTATTTGAGTAAGTTTCCCCATTGCTTTCCAAGACACTAAGTAGATAAGTACAAGTTCAGAGGGTAGGATAGCGTTGGTCACTATTCTGTCGCATACAGCGAATGACAGATTACTATTGACAGGAGAGTCACTAAGACATGCTCAGCCAACATATTCTTTTCTAAAGGAGTAAAAAATATTAAAATGAGTGATTACCAATTTCAAAACTTCCATTAATGATCCCCACTAAAGAAGCCGGAATATTAAACTGCTTCTCTATCTGTGTGTACATGCTGTTCATGTAAGCACCAGACATCGTTTTACCAACATATGCAAATGATAGCGCCAGCAGAAATACCTGGGAAAGAAAAAGGAGAATGTATAAAGAATCCAAGATTTTATATTTAGGATTATTTCCAGACTATTTTATTGATCAAAGATGTGCTTCCAAGTAAAACAAGTGAATAGTCCTGACATACTGACATGCCTGTAAATACAAGTTCAAATCCCATCAGCTGTTCTTGCCCACAGAGCTATGGCTTCAGTGAACGAAAAAAGGAAGTGAGAATTTACTCTTGCCCGTTCCCAGTCATCAAGACTATCATCAGAAACCTCAAGCCCCATTTCCCCAGCCAAGATACAGGCACGGTACACTCTCCCACCGTGTGCCTGCTGCAAGATTGCCATCTGCAGGACTGCGTAACATCTGCAGCCAGAAGAAAAAAAAACACAGACTGTGCCAAGTGGAAGAAAGACCAGATCTTTGCACCCTTTTCTCATCTAGATGATAAATTCCTTGCGGGAGTAAGATCGTTGTCTTCGAGAGAATTACTTGTTTGAGTAGCTGCTCTCCATTCTCAATAGAGGTCATGAGCCCAGAATGAGTCCTTTTGAACTGGAGTAGTAAATAGCATGTCCTTTTTACGAGAAACTTTTGATTGATAACAATAAAATAAATACGAATATATGCATTTGTATCCAATCCTTTTCATTTTAGGATACTTATTAAATAGTATTTATGAGAGAAAATAAATCGCATTTTGAAGCACATCTGCTGCAAATCCTAAAAAGCATGAGTAACGTATTAGGGCTTTGAATTACTATGAAAAACAAACTGTTATATAATTTTTATAGCGTTTCTTGACAATTTGCATAGTTTGGGGTACATCGGTAGCCAATTTTTACTGCCATGTGCCATGCCATAATTGGTAAGGCTCATTTCAAAGGTTAAAGAAGGAAGAGTAACTGTCAAACTAGGGGGATTACACAAGTGTAGAGGTGGAGCTTCAAAGGAGCAATCAAGCACACCTGCTAACACTTCACAGAGCATAAAGTTCAGGGACATAGAAAGCAGCACATTTGGTTGCAAACCTGCTTGACCTGGATGATTAAGGCATTAAGGATACAAAAACACTCCAGAAATTGTTGATTCACTTCAGATTCTAACTTTAAGTTGAAGACTTTGGACTTTGACTGTAGTGCAAGCAATTATCATTGTGCATTCGTATAAAATTGCTGAAACATTTCTGTACCTTAAGCTTGGAAATGCAGCAGAATTTCTCCCCTGCTCGAGGTTTCTCAGCTTCTTTCATGTTGCCTTTTTAAAGTGACTCCAATGTCTGTTTCTGAATCTTTCCAGTGATCCCATTACAGTGTTTAAAAAGATAGAAGAAAAAAAGAAACACATTTGTCCCGTGCTTGCAAAAAATCAGATTCCTTCTGAGACCAGTTATTTGAGTATCTTGCCTAAATAACTGCAAACTGAATTCCAACAAATGTACAAGTCAGAACAACATTTTCTAATCAAGACAATTTGGCATGTGAGTGTCAACAGTTTAACAGCTAGCTATTTCTCATCAGATACTGAAAGCTGTCAACAGACATTCACTCCCCTGGCAGTGTCCAGCTGCCAGTAGTGAGGAACTCAGTCTATGGCAGAATGAAACCTGAAGGAAGTGGGAAGTACACATAAAAAGCACTGAGACAGATGCATCACCCTAGATAAAAATGGGAATAAAAATATTCATGTAGGTCACAACCCAACCAGTAAGCAACAAATGATGAAAGAAGACGTTCTGTAGGCAAGCTGGTTTGTAACTGCCTGTAATACAGCTTTTCAGTCTTCTTCACGATCATTTGGTACTAACCATTGGGGGCGACTGGACTACGAAGACTATTAGGTCTGGCTGATGTACCTGTCTATGCTGTTTATTTACTATGTTTGTCCTTGTAAGATATAAAGAGGACATTTAGTTCTGTTCTGAATGCTCTGTTGGCCCTCTTCCGA